GGGCCTCGTGAATCATTTTGGGAGCCAAATTGAGCTGTCTTGATCTATCTTGGGCCATCTTAGAAAGCATCTTGGGCTCTTTGAGGCTCTTCCAGAGCCATCTTGGGCCATCTTGGACGCTCCACGACCCGCGAAACACCCCTTCCAGGTCCAGGGGAAGGGGAACGGGTAGGGTTAAACCCCTCCCCGAAAGGGAAGAAGGGGGTTGGAAGAGAACGCTCTTTAGACCACCTACGCCCAGAGGAGGTGGGATTCTTTGTCCTTCTGGGCCATCGTAGTCCGCTTCCTTCAATGTCTCAGCTGTGTTTGGAAGCCTCCGTTGCAGCGTCCCTGTCTTGTTTGTGCGCTCTCCCAGCTGATTTTCCCACCAAAGCGTTTTGTTTCATGATCGTTTTGGTTACTGATCCGTTCAACTATGTCTTGGCTCTTTAGGACCATTGATTTATCCTCGGTTTCTATTTCGCGCTGGCTTTTCCTGGGCGAAACGTTCGGACGACGTGCGGGGGGGGGGCACGTGGGAGGGAATGCCCGCGACGATATATCACACATTGAATTCTGGTTTGCCAGTCTGCCCGCGCGTACCCTGAACAGGGGGAGGATGCGGGGGAGGATAGGAGAGAAACCAGTCAGAGGAGCAGAAGAAGATGGAGGAGGATGAGGACACAGACGCAAGGTTGGAAAGCGCAGGAGTAGGTGGAACAGCTGCTGGGCGGAGATTGGCGCAGACCGGGGCAAAGGCTGGCGAGGAGGGGGGCCGATGAGAATGCAGAGAGAAGGTTGGGCCAACCAGGAGGACCAGGAAAGGAGAAAGAGGACGATGTAGGCGGAGGGAGGCGGATATGCGAAGGATAGACGAGTGGGGGGGATGATGCTTGCCTAAAGGTTTGGAGGGTGGAGGGTGGATGGTGGCAGAGGTAGGATACCGGAGGCACGACGGGCGCTTGACGGAGCGTGGAGGTTTCGCCGTGCTTGCTCGGATAAAGAGTGAACGGGGGAGGGGGGGACAGGAGGAGGTCTGGGTACTGCGGGGGCGCCCTGTGCGCTGGATGGGTACGCTGTGTTTTCGCCTGGTGGGCGCCTCTTTGGCGCCTCGCGCGCTGGTGGGTGCGGCAGAGATTTTGGTTTCGGACGCGTCCGTTTCAGTCACGTGATTTTAAGCAGTTCATCTATGACATGAACTGATATGTTTCTCCACCCTCGCAGGCCCGCAGACATTCATGTACATACCCTGGTTGCCCCCTGGTTATATGCATGGATCCGCCGCCGGCGGACGAGGTGACCGGCGAGCTGACGATTTCCTTCACGCCCAAGAAACTCCCGAACCCAAAGACGGCGTCACAGGGTCCTCCGACAGCCCCATGACAGCAGCCGACAAGAGTTCCAAAGAGGGGCCGACAAGGACCGCCAACGACATCATGCCAAAAGCCGCTGGTATGATATTATCTTGGGCCGCCCCAAGGTCACTCTCGAAGCCCTCTGTCTGGGCCTCCTTCGGGTATTTGTTTTGCCCAATGACGCCCCAGTGGGACCCGTGGACCTTCCAATTTTTCCCCACCAACCTGTGTTGTTGGGTCCTCGTGTTGAAGAGGCAGCGCCCGCGTCCACCCCGCTGCCTCCCTCCCTCTCCCCTATCATCAGCATCCCCATCATCAGCATCACCGTCACCATCATTATCGTCATCATCATCATCACCATCATCATCAGTTCGGCACACCCCTCACACGGTTCGTGGACCCGTAGGGAGCTCCACCGAAGGCCCCAGTGGCTGCATCCTCATGCGTCACCGCCACCCATTACGGCACACCCCTCACACGGTTCGTGGCCCCATAGGGAGCTCCACCAAAGGCCCCAGTGGCTGCGTCCTCATGCGTCACCGCCACCCATTACGGCACACCCCTCACACGGTTCGTGGCCCCACAGGGAGCTCCACCGAAGGCCCCAGTGGCTGCGTCCTCATGCGTCACCGCCACCCACTACGGCACACCCCCCACACGGTTCGTGGCCCCATAGGGAGCTCCACCGGAAGCCCCAATGGCTGCGTCCTCATGCGTCACCGCCACCCACTACGGCACACCCCTCACACGGTTCGTGGCCCCATAGGGAGCTCCACCGAAGGCCCCAGTGGCTGCGTCCTCACGCGTCACCGCCACCCATTACGGCACACCCCTCACAGGGTTCGTGGCCCCGGAGGATGCTCCACCGCAGGCCCCAGTGGCTGCGTCCTCATGCGTCACCGCCACCCATTACGGCACACCCCTCACACGGTTCGTGGCGCCAGAGGATGTTCCAGCGAAGGTTCCAGTGGGAGGGTTCGCATGTCACCTCCGCGCCCAATCCGGCACGCCGCTCACTGTGCGTGGCCCCATAAGGAGCTCCACCGAAAGCGGTACCCACAATGCGGTACTCGCAGCTTCATATGGTTGGGTCTTTCGTCAGGCTTTTTTTGGCCCCAATGATGCCCCAGTGGGCCTTCTTCGGGTATTTGTTTGCCCCAATGACGCCCCAATGACCTCCCATGAGAGCTCCAAGAGGGTCCTAAGAGGGTTTCCTTGAGGGACCCCAACAAGGACCGCCGATGGTATTTGTCGAACCACGGTCGTCCCCTGGTATGGTGTCGCTGGGGGACCTCTTGGGAGCCGTGTTGTTGGGCCCTCTTGGGCCTCCTTGGGGCTTTCCTCTGGTCCCAAGACTGCGCTGGAGGGCCCCCGGACAGCCCCAAGAGATCTTCAATATGTATTCCCCACATCCTAAGTGGGGTTCTTGTTTTCTCTGGACACCCCGCGCAGTCCTCCCACCCCCCCCCCTCTCTCTCTCTCTTTTTTCTTCTCTCTCGCCGTCATCATCATCAACCATCATCACTCATTGTCATCATCATCACCACCATCATCACCATCATCATCATCATCATCATCATCACGATCATCATTACCATCATCGCTCGATCACTCACTCACCCACTCAGCATCATCGTCATCATCACTCATCATCATCATCGCCACCATCCCATCATGATCATCGACCAAAAGATAGTCTCGTCTGTGAGTGAATTGCGAAGAGGTCTCAGGCGGGACCCCCCTCCCTATGGGGCCCGCACTTCATGTTCGAATCCGAGGCGGGTCGTCCGAAAAGTTTAACTGTCGTCACTTTTGGGCTCCTGAGGCGTGAACCTGGAGGAAGTATCAAGCGAGAGCCTCGTCTGTGAGTGAATTGCGAAGAAGTCTCAGGCGGGAGCCCCTCCCTATGTGGCCCTCACTTCATGTTGGTACTCCGAGGCGGGTCATCCGAAACGTGTATTTGTCGTCACTTTTGGGCTCCTGAGACGTGAATCTGGAGGAAGTATCAAGCGGGAGCCTCGTCTGTGAGTGAATTGCGAAGAAGTCTCAGGCGGGAGCCCCTCCCTATGTGGCCCTCACTTCATGTTGGTACTCCGAGGCGGGTCATCCGAAACGTGTTTTTGTCGTCACTTAAGGGTCTTGAGGCGTGAATCTGGAGGAAGTATCAAGCGGGAGCTTCGCTTGTGAGTGCATTGCGAGGACGTCTGGGGCGGGAGGCCCTCTTTATGGGGCCCTCATTTCATGTTGGCAATCCGAGGCGGGCCATCCGAAAACTTGTGATTGTCATTTTCGGGCTCCCGGGGCCTGAATATCGAGGAAGTCGCAGGCGGGAGCCTCGTTTGTGAGTGACTTGCGAGGAAGTCTTAGGCGAGAGCCTTCTGCCTATGGGTGCCGCATTTCATGTTGGTTAACCGAGCGGGTCATCGGAACCCTGTAAGTTTCGAGGTGGACGCGCCACTGTCATGACAGTTTGAGTTGGATTTTCTTTGGGCTCTTTCGGGAGCAAGTTGTAGAGCATATTCTGGGTTCTCGTAGCTGTCGTCACTGTTGGGCTCCTCGGGAATGAAGTGGGATGCGATTCCTCGCGGGCGAATCTGAGCGGGGTCAGTTGCGCGCTCTTCAGACAGCGATTCGTTCGACCCATCATATGAGGAGGAAGAGGAGGAACAGGAACTGAGAAGAACGACGGCGGCCGAGCGCAGGGGGAAACCCTTGCGTCCGGGCCGGGGGTGGTAATTTATCCTCGGCCGAAACGGCGGCCGGGCGCAAGGGGAAACCCTTGCGTCCGGGCCGGGGGTGGCAACCCATCCTCAGCCGAATCGGGGGCAGGGGGGAACACTTGTCTCCAGGCTGGCGGTGGCAACCCATCGTCAGCCGAATCGGGCGCAGGGGGAAACCCTTGCGTCCCGGCGGGGGTGGTAACCCATCCTCGGCCGAATCGGGGGCAGGCGGAAACCCTTCACGCAGACGACGAGCGCGACTTCGAGGAGTGCGCGCCAGGCCAGCTCTTTCGCCCCCGCTGCCAGCCGCAGGGAATCTGGCTGCATGTCCACGGCTTCAAAGAATCTCCGATCTACCAGGAGGTCGCCGAGCTGCTGCGACAGGGCGCCGATGGCACTGACGACGACGGCGAGGCCGAGGCGCTGGCGAGGAGCTTGCTCATGTTGAGGCCCAGCGAGCAGGAGTTCACGTGGCAGAGCTCGGGGGCGCACACTGTGCGCCGCTCGGGGCTCACCCTGACGCACGCGTCCTACTTGACCTCCACGCTGTTGCTGGGCCAGACGCTGCGCAAGGGCGTCACCATCGACTGCGCGAGGGGCGAGGACGCTGGCCGCATGGGCATGTCGGACGAGCAGTGTTGGCTGCGCCTCTACGTCATGTTCCCCCGCGCCACTTGCATGTGGAACATGCTGACCCTGCGGCCGCCCTCGCGCGAGTTTCTGGGGCGCGGGCCGCCGGTGCCCTTGCGGGGGGCGCTCAAGAAGTTCGATGAGAAAGCGAAGACTTCCAGGGATGAAGCCGAGCAGCTCGCCGCGGAGCTTGGCTTCGTGCTGCCTCCCGCCTGAGAGCCGCGGCGCGCAGCTAGAGGCCCGCGGGGTTGTCCCAACGGTCTGGCTCGCGGGGCTGTCCCGACGGCCTGGCCTCGCGCCCCAGCGACCCGCGGGGTTGCCCCGAAGACGTGGCCCGCGGGGCTGTCCCAAAGGCTTCGCGATCTAGCCGTCGGTGAACGCGCGCGCGTTGGCCGAGGCGGCGACGGCGACGAGGAAAATCGACTTGCTTGCCCCGGCCAGGGGGAAGGGGAGGTGCACGTAGAGAAGTGGCAGGAGGAGGATGAGGAAGGGGGGGAGGGGTAGAGGGGGGGGCGATGATGGGGAGGAGGCGGACAAGGAAGAGGAGGAGGAGGAGGAGGAGGAAGAGGAGGAGGATAATGATAGATAGACGGAGGAGGGGGAGGAGGAGGAGGAGGAGGAGGAGGAGGAGAGCCGAACTCAGGGCGAGAGGAGGATGTCCGCCAGGGCGACGCGGGAAGGGCTAAGGGTAAGCAAAGCATAGCATGTGGGGTCTTGCCGTCGGCGTAATTCAAAACGATATTCAAGATGGGGCCAAGGGGGCCCACAAGTATATCGTAACGCGAGCCCGTGGTATGATATCGTCGGGGGGCGCTTCGAGGGCTTTCAGGGGGCATTCCGCCGGCCCCACATATTTTCCGAGAGGGTCTGAGACAGCCCCAAGAGATCTTCGAGAGGGGCCCAAATAAGTTCCCAAGAGGGGCCCAAAAGGGCCACCAACCAAATCATACCAACAGCTCGTGGTATGATAGTGTTTGTGACCCTCTCGAGGGTCCTCTTCGGCCCAATTGGGGCCTTCCTCTGGCCTCAAAGACAACCAAGGAGGACCTCACGTAACTCCAAATGAGCTACAAGAGGGTGTATCAAATTCCTTGGCACTGGAAGCAAATAGCTTCCACCGCGCTGGTGCCACACAGGTTGCACATACATCATACGATAATTCCGCCCTGAGTACAAGGGGGCCGAAACGGCCTTAGAGGACGACCCCCGCAGGAGTTCAATACTGTCAACACTAAGAGTGTTTGCGGCTAGCGGGGAAGAGCGGAGATAAACAAGTAGGAGACGGCAGAGGAATAGGAGGAAACGGAGAGAAATTGGAGGAGAAGGGCTCGAATATAATATTTGGTGGATGATGCCAGTCACGACGGCGCAATTTATATCTATCCGGGTAAATGTCCCTTGCATTGCATGGTTCGCTCGCGGGATTCTTTCTCATGTGCGTACTTCGGCGCGTACGCCCTTATGCGGCTCCGACGACAAACGCGACAAGGAACACAACACGGGGGACATACGTGGAGAAAGAGGAGGAGGAGGAGGAGGAGGAGGAGGAGGAGGAGGAGGAGGAGGAGGAAGAGGGGGAGAGGACCAGGAGGATGGCGAAGGAGGAAATGCTGGTGAGAGCAACGGCGTCATGCGCTACATCTGCTCGGCTCTCCCCTGCTGCTGCTGCTGCTGCTGCTGCTGCTGCTGCTGCTGCTGCTGCTGCTGCTGCTGCGGGCGGCAGGCATGTGAGGGGGGGGGCGGAAATGCGCCACGGAGGACAGCGCCATGGGCCACGTGACGCTCCAGCGCTTTGCGCTCTGTGATGCAACAGCGCCACGCGCCAAACTTCTGGAGGTGGCAACAGTTATGCAGTCCGCAGTCCCCCAGAGAGCCGCGTCGATTCGCCTGCATCTGCATGCCCGCGATTCACCTCGCGACCCACCCGCGACTCACCCCGCGCCCGCCCCCTCACTCTGATGCGCAATTGCCAGGTCCTAAGTAATTGAACTTGCGGACGTCCGCGCAATTTTTTCGACATTGTATCGGCCATGGGCCCCTTCTCCCTGGCGCACAGATCGCGCCAGGGGCGGCGACAGGGGCGCCGCTGGGGGGGGGGTCTGCTCCGATCCAGAAATTCGCGCAGACCCCTTGCACTCCCTTGTTCCTTGTGTGATGTCGTCCGACCCTCTCAGTCTCCCCATCGCTTCCCCCCCGCACCCCTCGCGAGGTGGAAAAACGCGTGGACGAGGCGCTCAGTGCCTCGTACCTGGCCGACAACCCGGCGGAGAAGGCCTACAGCAAGGCCGCGCCGCTCGCGACCGGCACCGTCGCCCAGATACCACTCATTGAGGAGGGGCAGGAACGCAGGAGGGATGATGATGATGATGATGATGATGATGATGATGATGATGATGATGATGATGATGGTGATGGTGATGGTGATGGTGATGGTGATGGTGATGGTGATGGTGATGATGATGCTGATGCTGATGCTGATGCTGATGCTGATGCTGCTGATGATGATGCTGATGATGATGATGAGGATGATGAGGATGAGGATAAGATGATGATGATGATGATGATGATGATGATGATGATGATGGTGGTGGTGGTGGTGGTGATGATGATGATGATGATGCTGATGATGATGATGATGATGATGATGATGACTTTGATGATGATGATGATGATGATGATGATGATGATGATGATGATGATGATGGTGGTGGTGGGTGGTGGTGGTGGTGGTGGTGGTGGTGGTGAGGAGGAGGAGGAGGAGGAGGAGGAGGAGGAGAAGGATAGATAGGAGGAGGAGGAGGAGGAGGAGGAGGAGGAGGAGAGCACGGCACTGGGCAGGGCAGAAGGTCGAACCGAGTCCAGTCGAGATAATTGCAGCCCGCTCTGCGCCGGGATCTCTGGTGTGAGGCGCGCGGGGGCAAGGGGGGCGGAGGAGAGGGTGGGGTGGGGCAGGCTCCCACGTCTGGATGGTAGAGGCGGAGGATGATGGGCTCCCACGTCCGTGTGGTAGAGGCGGAGGACGATGGGCGGACCCAGCGGGGTTGAGGTTGGCAGTATTCGCGAACTGGCGGCATTTGTCCCTGTCCAGACACCAGACACCAGCCCGTGGCCGTCTCGAACTCCGCCGTCAACTATGGAGATGGAGCGCGTCGCGCGCGGCCTCCCCGACTCGGCCGCCTCATGGCCGGGGCCGCGCACCCAGAGAAGTCGTGGATCTTAGACCCTCTGCCGGAGGCGATCCTCAATCCTGCCGCACTGCTGCTGCAACGGCCACATTAGCTCGCTGCGGAAGAAGACGGCCAAGGAGCATCCGAGCAGCCTGCCGCTAAGGCTCGCCGATTGCTTGGCCGACCCGGATCCACCGTTGCGCCGAGTCGGCCGCCATAGCTGGCGCCATCGCCAATCGCGGCATTCCGGCCGTCGGCAGGAAAGCGGGGAGCGAACGGAACCCACCATGGTCATAAGTTCTACGCCAACCTAGGGCCGCGCCGGCGACGCTCTCTTCCAGGGCCTCCGCCGCCTCCAGCTCCAGAGCGACTTCCCAAGCGAGCTCCTCTGCGCCGCGCAGGGCGTCGGCGTCGTTCCCAGCTCAGCCGCCACTCCACGAACAGGCGCGCGCGCCCAACCGCCCACACGCGGTGCATGGGCACTGGCCAGAAGTTCGTCAGGAGCGAAAGAAGGACGTACATGTACATGAATCCACGCTGGTTTCGCGAGTTCGCATTGCGCGAATGTTCGTATCGCGCGGCAGGTCTCGCGGGTCAAGGGGCCGTGTTCATGTACATAGTTGGGCGCGTACGTCTTTGATGGGCTCCCTAAGAAGGGGCGCCTGTCCAGAGGCCCGGGGCCCCCTTATCAGGCTCAGGGAGCAGCAGGCCCCCCGGTGCAGCAAGCTCGCGGGGCCACTCCTCAGACGCCTTTAGTTCTTCTGGGAGAGGGTTGTTATCCCTGACCTTCCAGAGAGCTATGTTTTAGCACGGGAGGCCTAAAAACCTAAAAAACCAATCGAAACAGCCTAAAACCAAGACGTAAAATAGCTCTGGGATAGGTTTTTTAGTCGCGTGCTATTTTTAGCCCTCCTGGAAGGTCAGGGATGAAGTGTGAGGAGTTATGGTTTGTTGCTGATTGGGGTAACTGGGGTTGCGTTGGTGGCGACCGCCAGAACTGGCACAAACTGCGTCCGTATCCAAGGCGTTTCCTCCGCGGATCCACAGGTCGACACGGTTTTCACGGTTCGTCAGACAGTCGTGGAGCCACCAGCCGCCAGCCCTCGCGACGGCGCGCCCTGGCCGCAGCGCTGGCCCGCCGCCGAGCATCTTCCACTCGGTCCGGCAGGCCTTGCGGAAACCCGTGTTCAAGGGTGACCGCCGCGAGGTCCTGCGCCCAGGTGGCGTCGGCGGCGTCCGCACCGCACATCGCGGTCAAGGTGGCCTGCCCGACGCCCCGTGGTGCCGCGGCTCCCGATCGCCTCAGGGCGTGCTGGGAGCCGCGCAGCCGCCGCAGCTGGCGCAGCGCCGCATCCGCCGCAGCGTCCGCCGCCTCGCCCGCGCCGCCGGCTGTGGGGGGGCGGTCGGCCGGCCGAGCCGCCGCCGCACGCAGGCGCTCTGGAGCGCCCTGGAGCGGCAACCGACCCCGCATGGCCGCGCTGAGCTGCTGCCAGGCGGCAGGGGGATCATGGCGGTCAGCACGGCCAGGCACCGCCGCCGTGGTCGCTTGCGCCACAGCTCCACGGTGCAGAGTCTGCGGTCCAGAGCACGCCACAGCGCAGCCGTCCAGGGCTGCGGCCTGCTGCTCTGCAGACGGGCCGCCTCTCTGGCGCCGCGATCCGCGGCTCCACCGGCAAGGCAGCGTGCGCGGCCAGCCCAGAGAGCCAGCGCAGCCCGACCTCCAGCAGTGGCGAAGCGTCCTAGCTCGCCTATAGGCCTACCGAAGATTGTTCCGAGTACCTTTTATGCTTCGCACGAAATGCTCTAAGAACATTTCTGGCTGAGAGCGTCTTGTTTTAACACATCGGGCTTATGTTCTAAGAATCGTGTTTTTTCTTAGAACATTTTTGAGTTCTAAGAGCATTTCGGGGTAGGCCTGTAGGAATGCCGGGACGGTCGGTCCCTGCTCTCAACGACCCAAGCCACCATCGCCAGCCCAACCTCCCGACACATGGGTTGCATCCGAGTCTCAGCTTTTTTTCAGCGGTCGCCCTTGGATGGGCAGCTGCGGGGAACCAGTACATACAGGCCCCAGGTGCGCGACGCTGGGGCGAGGTGCGCCACGTCGGCCCCCACCCATCGTTATGGAATGCCAGTTCACACACGCGGCGGAGTTGCCTTGCTTCTGGCTGTCCTGCTCACAGCATGCAATCTGCCAGCACCCCTGCCGCCCCTGTCCACAAACAACAATGCAAAGTGATCGCGGGGCGCCCGCGCACGATCCCGATTTAGTCGCGAAGTGAAGTTTGTATTGTTTTGCACAGGGATGGTGGCCCTGCGCACAGCACGCCATACTCCGGCGGGACGAAAGTTTAGGCCCATGCTCCTTTCCCAGTGGAGTTCCCTCGCGCTGGCGCGGATGCACTTTCCACCTGTCAAAAAATAGGCGGAATAACTAATCCCCTGTTCTCCTAATTCGTATCAGTGGCAGCTGTTTTTTCTTCCGCTGCGGCGCTTTGTTGTCTTGGTGCAGGAGTCTACGGGGGAGGGGGGGCATCGCAAGTCCTGCGACGTTCTCGCCTTCATTCGCCGTGGCAAGATAAATGGGCCAAACCAATGTCGCGGCGGTGTATGCTGGCACCCCCGCCGCCCCTGTCAAGAGAACCATAAAACGTGTCCGCGCTCCGCCCGAGCATGACCCAACATGTTACCGCAAAGTGCTCTTTGCATTGCTTTTGACAGGGATGGCGAGAGGGGGTTGGCGTTGTCCTTGGTTCGTAGCTGGTCGGGTCGGGGAGGGGGGGGGTATATCAGATGGGAGCTGTGGGGAATCCGTGTTGGAAGGGGAAGGGGGGTATTTTGGAAGAGGAAGCGCTCTAAGCCAACTCCGCCGTCAAGGCTGGTAGGATTTGTGCGGGTAGATTTTCTGAGCCGTCATCCTGAATTGCAGTGGGGGCGCGCATCAAGAAGTCATATGCTTTTCGTCAGGGTATCCTGGGTTTCTTCGCTCCTCGCGCTGCGCGGTGACTTCCCGCAGCCGTCGAAGGAGCTGCTGCGTTCGGGGTGCTCCGTGTTTCCCCTCCGGTGCACCTCGCGCACGGCTTCTCAGGGTCGGGTTTCTTGCGAGGGGTTCTGGCGGCCGCGCCCGCACTGTAGCTCCCTCCCTCCGGCCCCACCTCCAGCCCCCAACCGCTTCCCACCTGGGCCCAGGCCCCGCGGCCGCGGCGCGCGCACCGAGCCCGCGCTCGTCTCAGCGGGCGCTTCGCGGCGGCGCGGGCGGTGGCAATGCCCGCCCGCGGCCAGCGCGTGTAGCGCGTGGAGATGTCGGGCGGCGTCAACTGACCACCTCCTCCTCCACCTCCTCCTCCTCCTTCCCCTCCTTCTCCTCCTCCTCCTCCTCCTCCTCCTTTCCCTCCTCCTCCTCCTCCTCCTCCTCCTCCTCCCTCTTCTCCTCCTCCTCCTCCCTAGTAGACGCTCCAGGCTTCTGGCCATTCCCTATGCCTAGGAGTATCTGGAGATCAAAGAGAAGTCGACGGGGCCGCTTTCTCTTGGCTCCTTGCCTCGGGAACGTACACCAAAACGACTCGGCATGAAAAAGCGGTCCCACGAGAAGCCTAGGGGGGACACGTCTCGGAAAAGGCGAGCCGCTGGATGTATGGGCTGGCCGGGCCCATCCTGGGCTGAGCCCAAGGACAGTTTCTTCATCCCCTGGCGATTACGGGCGTGACGGGGGGGCGGGGGAGGGGGCCGATCACCTCACGGTTCGCGTTGGCGCCGTCTGGGAGTGCCTAAGAAGAATTGCTTATTCCCGGACGGCGCTGGCGCGAGCCGTGACGTGAACAGGTCGGGGGTGGCAAAGAGGGGGGTGATGACTAGGTGGGGGTGGATATCATGGCGTGGGCCATGATATTTCCCCTGATCTCATGGCGCCTCTTCTTGCTTCATTACGTCCTTGGTCCCCCCGCTGGGCCGCGCACATGCCGCCGGTCATGATTTGCACCCCCCCCTCTTGGACACCCCCCTCTTGGCCGCTCCCGAACCGGGGGGGGGGAGGGCGGGGCCGGTCACAGACGTTCTCGCGAACGACTCAAAATTGGAGCTCGCGACCGGTGCATACGCCCTCGTGGCTGGCACAGGG